TGCTGGCTTTCATTACGGACTTTTAAAATGGTGCATCTCTTCCTTTTGCACGTACGCCTAGGAGTTGAAAAAACATGCATGCAGCAAAGCGTGTTTTTCGTTTTTCTGAAATACAATCCTAGTCACTAAAAGCAAAAAAAAAAAATCACCATTAACGGGCATTTCTTGATATGCTGTGGATTACTTGCATGCGTTTCCAACATATTGATGCGTACTTTTCGCTGAAAATACACCAGTTTCAAACAGAAAACGATCCCAGAAACAGGCAATTTTGCAAAATATCAAAAATTCTACTTTGTCAATGTAAGCTCCGCTCTAAGAAGCAATGTTTTTCAAATCTTCTTAGTTGCAGTTCCAACTGTTTTAGTCGTGCGGAGGATAAAACTGACTGCGCAGTTTACTCGGAAAATGCAAGCCTGACATTTCTGGTAACGAGGTCACGAGGCGCATCACTTCTCCAATCGCATGCTTTCGCGAGCCTTATGAAATGCAGATCGCTTAGTGCACGATGAGGGGTCCATACGCCTCTCACAAATTTCTTTATCCATTGCATGAAAACCCTCTGGAGCGCCTGCACTCGTGCGTGTAGATATTCGCATATCTGCAAGCGAATTCATACATTTCCGCAGCCCAAAGTTGAGAAAGGCAATAACCCATCACTCTGTATTTTCATTATCTCGCCCCTACCGGTGCATTTTTTCGTACATCACAAAAATCACCAGAACCGCTCAGACATCGGTATTAGCATTCGATCTCGGCGCTGTTACTATAATGCATCTCAAGCGAAGACACGCTAGGTTTTTGTTTCATAGCTACAAAATTCCAATACTCATCGTTTACTCAACGTATCTGCTACACCTCTTCAAGATGCCACGAAAATGTAATCCCTTATGCTGCAATCGCCTTGTTTTCTGTGAAGTGCTTCTCTCCTGTATGAATAAAGTAATGGGTGCGATTACGCAATGATTTCTCAACGCTCATTGAATTCCCCTGTTCCGGCACTGAAATTTGAAATGGGCATCTAACAGTCACCATAAAAAAAACACTGCCATAGAAAGACCCAAATAACTGCACTGCACTGATTTTACAAAAAATTTCCATACTGACTTGTGCGCTATTGCAAAAGGAACAATAAACTGACCAGCATGGTGGTTGGCGAGAGACCGGCGAGTTGTAATGGTGTTGTCAAGCGTTCCCTC